GTGGGGGGGGGGGGGGGGGGGGGGGGTTGGGACATGAATATTGATGAATAATGTCTTGGTTAGAAATTCATTAAATTGATAACTTTTTTATTCACCACTACCGTCGAAGCGTATGATTTTGATGAATATTAAATTTTTTTTCAATGCGATGGTCGAGATTAATGAAATGAGTTAATGTTTCAGATTTATGAATCATAGGGTATACCCACATATATCTAGTTGCATCATCCACAAAAATGACATAAAATTGATAACCTTCATTAGAAATATGTGGGGATGGTACCAATACATCAGTGTGAATACGTTTACAAGGAGAATATGTATGATTACTAGAAGGTATAAATGGTAATCTATGTTGTTTTGCTGTAACACAAGAAGTATAAAAGAAATTATGTCGAGAAATGCTTAGATGTGGACGTTGATTTGCGATGGTACGGAGGATGTTGCTATGGGGGTGACCAAGTCGGTGATGCCAAATGTTAGCTGCGGTAGTTCTGGAGAGTAGAGCTTGCTTCCGGTTGGGATTAGGGTAGAGTCCTTCACTATAAGTGCCTTGGAGGAGGATTTGTGGGTTATGCAATTTTTGATTTGGTAACTGGAGGTATCAAATACAATGATACCATTGCTGTTACGGGTGAGTTGAGAAATGGATATGAGATTGTGAGCAATATGTGGTGTCTGAAGTAATTTTGGTAGAGATAACTTACAGGTGAGAGTAGGATGCAGCTCTTGACCATTGTTTTGAATAGGTATAGCATTACCATCACCTACATAGACTTGTTCCCATCCTTGGTAAGGTCGTAGCTTGTAAGTTACTGAGATCGGCGGTTAGATGTTGTGATGCTCCCTTACCAAGGTTACCATTTAGAGTTTGAGGTGATGAGGTCATGAGGGCTGTATAGTCTGGTGATTGTTTGGGTTGATAGCACGATGCCAACATTGAGATGTTGGATGACTCGTTTAAGACTGATTTGACAGATACTTGTGTTGCTGCGCTTGGCCGAATATTGATTTTTGTCATGTGAGGTTCTGGAAGAGATATTGGATCAACCCTTTCCCCTATAATTAGGTCGACCTCTTCCTCTATTTGAGTATAATGCGAACTGATTCTCCGATTGGAAAGATGAGTTGGATGTTTCGCTGGAGATGTTAATCTGTTTACTGTATAGGAGTGAATCTAGATCTTCAAGGTTGATAGGAAGTAGAGAAGCTCAGATTGCAGTTTTAAAGGCTTGATTAGGAGGTAAGCTCTTGAATATGTAAAGGATAATATCTTCAGTATCTATAAATGATCCAGAGGCCGCAATGTCGTGTACTAGTACCTTTATTTGCGTTAGATATTGAGTCATAGTTTGATTCTTCATAGTCACATTGTGAAGTTCATTCTTCAAATGGATTACTCTTGATCGGTTGATGGCTTATAGACGTTTTTCCAGGGCTCTCCAGATTTCATAACAGCTATCAAGGTTGATGACGTAAAGTAGAAGGGTGGCTGAAATGGTGGAAAGAATGACAGCTGCTAGGTTTTGGTCTATAAGGATCCAGGTTCTGTGAGTTGGATTGGGATGGACTATTCCTACATCGAAGATGATGGTAACCTGCGGTTTTGGGGTAGCTTCATCAAGGAAGCCTCCAAATCCATTTGCATTGATGATTTTTGAGATCTGAGATTTCCATAAGGGGTAGTTATTGGTGGTCAGTGTGGCAGTGATGATAGTTTTGATATTGGAGACCAAAAAATAGAGAGATGGTGGCATGTAATGTTCTTCGATCTTGAGTGCGGCTAGGTTACCACTTAGTTCCGATGTAGATGACTCCTCATTGCTGCAGTAAAGCAGAAAGCTCTGATACCATGAAATGGAAGAAACAAAAAGAAAACAGGAAGAAAAAATGGAACAGGGTAATCCCACTGCTGTGTAAGCTGTAAGAAGAAAAGAGAATTTACACCACCCTAAGAATAGTAAAGAGCAGCTCAAGTCGGGAAATTGCTATAAGGCTGAAAAACCACACCCACTATAGAACTGGTACAGAGATATAAAGGCATAAAAAGAGTATTCTAGAAACAGTTTATGAGAGGGTAGTTTGGGAAAAGTGTGTATCTGATAAAGTGGAATATTCATTATTAGAAACAAACAAAAGCTAACAAAAGTTTAATGGCTTAAATCTAGCTATGGGTGCCAGAGTCTATTCAAAATGTACACATTCTATATCTAGTATTACTTTGTCATAGTGATATTCCTAACTTCTATACTTGAATTATGAAGCTTTATTGTTGAAAACCTATTCAGTTTCAAGACTGCATTGATCCTTCAACTCTGTAAACATATGATTCATAACAAATTGATTTGATTGTAGTTGGATGGATATACTCAGGCATTATTTAGAAAAAATTTAAAATCCTTAGGTTTGATGATTGCGATGAATGCTATATGATCAATTACATTTGTTATAATATTTACAGTCTTAACACCTTTAGAAGGATCTCCCAAAATTTATTTGATAGGATGACTCAATATGTTTTCATTGCTTAGTTAAATTATTTTTTTCATCTTCTTTAATTACTAACTTCTCAAAATTTCAACGGCACCTTCCAAATCATTCTTTTTATTTAAATTTTCAAATTCACACTCATGAAAAAAATTATATGCATACTTTCTTCCACTATTACTGTGTTCTTGTTCAATAGTTGAAAAGTTTTGCTTGAAGATGAATAACATAGAATATTGTCTCATTTGATTTATGATATTTTTTAAATATTAGTTTTTCTGTTACATTGATCAAAGTTGTTACAACAAAAGGCATGTAAGTGAGGCAAATTAGGTTTTTTAATCTTGAGCAATTCAAAAGGTTCCATCATAAGTTGGGGCCAATTATTTAATATAATATGCTTTAATCCATTGATTAAGAGGACATTCTCGATTGAAATAAAAATGTCCATATGAGGTTTTTTAATATTGATTTTCTTTGTTGATAATCCTTTTAGTTGGATTATCATCAAGAGTTACTTTCTCTCTTTTTATGGTTCAAATCATAGAAAATTGGTTTTATTTCCAAGCATCTGTTTTACATAGTTATTATTGAAGTATCACATACCTCTATCAATCATATCATCAAAGTTTACTTACAAATAAATCAGATATTTTTTCGGCACTCAAATAAGATAGGTCCTTTTTCATCAGAGTACTTTGCAGCGGAACCAAATAAGCTTTTCTTCATTACATAATATATGCTTATAAACTTCTTATTGACGCTCCTTGATGGGTAATGGACCAGCCTAGTGTTTTAGCTCCAAGCAAGGAGCCCTTTACTTTTAGAACAAGTCCACATATTGTAAGGTCCCAATTTATTGTTTTAGAATTGACCGTCCGTATCTGCGCGTAATGTCATTTGGAGAAGAGTAATAAATTGTTTGAGATTTTAAATTTCTATGACAAAGTAATACCAACAAAGCTCTCAAAATTTAATTTGCATGTGTTGGAATAAAGCTTTAAGAAAGGAGAGAATGGATTTTGTGAAGGATTTTTGTTTTAAGCTTTTCGTTAACTTCTTTCTTTTTGGGCTTTTCACACGTTATTTAAATTTGCACCACTCTTAACACTTTCAATAACAATACATGTATTAATCAACTTCAAATTATAATTGATCAGCTGTTTAATTAAGGCAAAATATCTACTAACTGCATGATCTTACTTTGCAAACATAATGGTATGATAATATTAATTTATTTTTTATTTTTCACATATGTACACATACAATGGACGCATTGACAAGAATAGAATAATTTTTATTCTTGAAATCACATAATATTAACTAAGCGGAGTTCTTCTGTTCTGCTATTTTTCTACTGACTTTGTTTTTATATGAATGAAAGTGTTTTTGCATTTAAGCTTCATTATATACATCTGCACATGTTATCTGTAGGGAAAAGGGCTAGGGAAAAGGGCACCTTTGGTCATTAAAATGTTCTTGCATTTAAGCTTCTGTAAGCTCAAAAAAAGGAAAACTTGGTAAACAGAATTCTGCTACCCCAATGATCATTGTTATATTTGCCTGGGAGTATGTATATTTGCTTATATTCCTCATGAAATAATAATGATACAAGGCAGTTTTATTTAATGATATTAACGATCAGCAAACAAAATTCAGTTACCTTAATTAACTGTATTAGCTTTTCTTAACTTTAATTGTACCTATTTTCAATTTCCTGTGAAATAATGATGATGCAACAAATTAATTTTATTTAAACCCTGTCACAAGTTTTTTTTTTATCATATTGTTTATTTTTAAGGATTTTATAAATGCAGTACCTGAAGGAATTGGATGATTTAAGATCAAAGCTCAGCGTCACCAATGCCACTGCTGAGGCTAGTGCAGCATCAGCTCAAGCTGCCCAGTCTCAATGTCTATCCCTGCTGAAGGAATTAGATGAAAAAAATAGCTGTATAAAAGAAAATGAAGTGCGTCTCAATCTCTTAGGGGAGCAATTAGATCAGCTGCAAAGGACTCTTCAAGAAAGAGAATTGTCTCAGAAACAATTAAAAGAACATGTCTTGAATATGGAGAATGAGATCCAGGGTGCAGTTGCTAGAGCTGGAGACATCAGAGATTGTGAGCTTCAAAGGATTTTAGATGAAATTTCTATAAGAAACTATGAAAAGATAAATAAACTTTTGATAGCCAAAGATGATGAGATTTCTCGACTGAGGGATGAGATCCGTTTCTTGTCTGCACAATGGAAACACAAAACAAAAGAACTTGAGTCGCAGGTATTTGTCTTCACTGATCGTCTTAGAATCAATAACATTTTCTAAAAAATCTGATTAACTTGCTCTTCCCCCCCCCCCCTTTTTTTTTTTAAAAAATTATAGCTTGAGAAGCACAGGAGAGCTGATCAGGAGCTAAAGAAGAAAGTACTGAAACTTGAGTTCTGTCTCCAAGAAACAAGATCTCAGATGCGGAAGCTTCAAAGGGTAATGGACTTGCAAGTTCTTTGTTGTTTTTATGCATTTGATTTGTTTTCCAAGATGCTCTTAATAAAGGCGAAATTACTAAATTTGCTAACCAAGTCAAAGTTGTCTTATATAGTATTGCCTTCATCTCTATAGAGTTTAGTTTTTGGCATTTGCATTACTGTATGGAGCGTTGGAGAAATAAAGCAGTTTTATGACATGTGGGCTTAATTTGCTTAACTTCACTTAGATATTTCTGATTGTTCGTTAGGAAAACTGTTGAATTATGCCACTTCTTTTAAACACTAGAATCCATTTACATTTTTTCTAGTCCAATAGGTCGAATCTTCATTATAAAACCTCCTGAGAAAGTTGAAAGCTGTTCCTTCTGCAAAGATCATTATCAAATTAAGCTCAGAGATCTGAAGGAACAATAGCCTACAGCTTGCAAGTATCTGGAAATTCTCTCTTCTACTTTTGTTTTGATGCCAGTATATTTTGAGGTTAATAAATTTGAGTTTCAAATTTAAAGGCTTGTTTGGGAACACTTCTATATTTTTTTTGTTTTTGTTATTGTTTTTTTTAATTTTAAAAATATGCTTCTTTAGTGTATTTTTTTTTGCATGTTTTTTATTTTTATTTTCAAAAACAAATTAATTTGTTTTTAAAAATATTCAAACCAATCAGAAATTGTTCGGGGCGTTTTTAAATACAACTAATCATATATAATGTACTAAACATTTTTAATTTTCAAGTAAAAGTATAAAAAATAAAAGATAAAAACAACAGCCAAAAGTGATCCCAAATGGTCCCACTGACCCACTCACAAGTTATTTCGAGTATTTTTAAATACAAATAATTATATATAACATATCAAACATGTTTTATTTGAAGTAAAAATTTATAAAAAATAATAATAATATAAAACAAATATAAAAAATGATCCCAAATGGCCCCTAAATCATATTTTAATTGAGTTGGCCCATCTATTTTGTATAAATTAACCACATGTATTTACTTTGGTTGTAGCAATCTTTATTTTTATGAATACTTTATTCACTCTGTTTTTTTTTTTAATTTATAAATAAGTTATTCTTAACTCACATGTTGTGTACCATATTTTATTTTATCATTACAATTATCTTAAAAAAGTAAAATTTAATATGATTTTGTAGCTCTCTTTATTGTAGTTTTTTTTTCACTTGTTTTTAAAGGTGAGTTTCGAATTTAAAAACTCATTTCTATGAAATTTTACTGAATAAATGCAGTTCTTGAAATCAATTCACTTGCTTATTTTAAGATCAAATTAACAGTGTATTAATCTGGTAATGCAGTTATGTGAAGCACTTGCATCAAAGCTTATAGGCAATCTTCCCGAACCAAGATACAAAATGTTAGGAATTTTAACATAAATCTTTTTGAATGATATGATGCAGATGGGAGAGAAAAGGGACATGGCTCTCAGGGAGCTTAGAGAACAAATTTCATTAAAGCAGCGCAGTGAAGCGGATTCTGTTGACAAACAAAACTTCTGGGAGAGCTCTATGTTTAAGGTTATTATTTCCATGTCCATGTTAGTTTTGGTTGCCGTTGTGAGACGTTAGATCCTTTTCCCCCTAAGAACAGTAGGACCATAGGTCGTAGATATCTTGTTATCTGTAGCGCTCGTGTTATCTTGTATGCTTAAAAAATGATTTCCTTGAGATATATATTAGAAACATATGTACTATTAGTTGATATTTTCTGAAGTTCCATTTGTATGTAGTGCGAGGCATATTGCAAGTTCTGCTGTAATGAGACTTGGACTATATATATTTTGTATGAAAAAGGAAGCTACTTAAGAGAAAATGTTTCCTACTACTGCATAAGATCACATTTTTTTAACACACCAATTTATGCTGCATTTTATAAGGAGATTGTGAGCTAACGTTATATTTTACAGAGACTGATATATATATTTCTGGGGATTTTACATTCATAACACGCTGAAAAATGATATTTATCTATTTCGCACTCAAATATCTGTATTTACATATTTTTCAAATACAATAATAATAGCCTTCGTCTCCATTCATGCGGCAGCTCTTCCCTTCTTTCATGTGCTATCCAAATGATCATTTCTTCCACGTGATCAAGAGGTCCTGAAGCCACAACAGCTCGGTTTGACCAGCCAATGATGTGCACACCTACTTTTTCCATCCATAAATGCTATTGTGGTATGTTACAGAGGCTATAAGTTACTTCACTAGTATAAATTTCTTCTTCTTTTCTCAATATACAATGATGGAATGATGTTAAGTTAGGCAGTCCATTCCACACGTGGAAACAAAGATCAAGTCGCAATGGCCACAACAAGAAACTATAACACTACCACTAATCAGTAATTGGACAAACAACATTTGCTAAAAGATGAAGTACAATATCTAACTTCTTGCCAATAAACTTAACTAATGAATTTGACCGTCTCAAGTGCAGCAAAATGAGCATAGAGATGTCAGAACTATAATTTACTTGAAACAAGAACTGAGGCCTCCATAGCAGCGTTAAGACAGCAAGCTTTTTAGTTGTGCATGTCGTTTGTTGTTGGCACTTAATGTCCCTCTTTTTTTGTTAATAGCGATGAATCCCACTATACAGTATTCATTTGTGCCGCACAATGGACTAAATCCAATAACTTAGCTAGATACTCCCTTATGGAAAGGTTGCCAGAGATCTTGTTAGAGCCCTTAGGCACCATTGGATCCCAATCAACTAATATCATGTCTATTTTGTTGGTCACCTAGAATTTACTTTTGTCAACCAACAAGAACAATGGAATAATATCAAAATCTTTCTGCAACCTTTACAATCAATCAATATTTGCAAACAACTCTAGAATTCTACCAAAGCTCTAGTAGCCCACTAATGTATGTACAAACTTAGTATTCTGTATGGATTTGAGTGCTACTTCGATATTCTATCAGTAATTGGGTGCAACTCTGATATCGAATCATGATTTAGACACAAATCTGATATTATACTAGAATTAATTTCAAATCTTAGTAAAATATTTTGATTTGATACAACCAAAAAATTCTCTAATTTTAAATAATCAGCGGAGAAACTTTGGTCAACCTTAATGGATTAAAAAAAAATAAAAAAAAAAAAAAAAAAAAAAGAGGAAAAGTAACACCCTAACAAGAATCCACCTATTAGTGATTGAATGGTGTATCCCATGTGAATCTTCGTATAAGAGGGTGCCAACAAACATACACGAGTTACAGCTAAACAGAGAATAATTTGAAGTTGATTAAAAATTTAAGTATTTTAGTACTCTTGTTGAAATAAAATAAAAAACATTCATCTTTGCATCAATTTGAATTCCATAGTTAGATCTACAATCTTATCCTTAAATTTCTAAACAGATTATCTCAATGACAAACATATTTCAAAATTCTAAATCAAAATGAAGCAACCTAACAAGAATTCCCGCAAATAAGACTAACATTACCAAACTATTTTCAACGTAGCAACAACTTACAAACACAAATTTCTCAAAAATTACAATCTAAATATTACTTGGTTGCTCACCTTAAGTGGGTTGAGATAGCAGAAAAACATATATTGCTTCTACCTCTCCTCTCGCTCTTGCTTGTCAATTTCAGTGAATGAACCAGAGACAATCCCCTTCTTCTCTTCATCCTTTACCAAACCATCCTTTGCATCTGAATTCAAATGTCCCTTTATCTTTTCATTGCCACCAACCACGAGTGCCGACCCATTCACCAACCCAATCGGCTCGCTAAACCTTTTCCACTTCTCCCTCTCCCTATCCTGGACCCTCTTCTGAACCACGGAGCCTGCTTTCACTGTACAGCTCGGTCTAGGGACCTTCTTCTTTGGCTCTGCCACCTCCACCTTTGGGGCAACATTAGCAACAGAGACAACTGGTGCCACGGCAGTCCTAACCGAGTCTCTAATCTTCTCGTTCTCCTTTTCAAAGATGAATAAGGATCTATGAAGCATGTCTCTCGCCCTCTTCCTTGCCAAAGCAGCCTCCTTGACCTTCTTCTCCGCGTCAGCTCGAGCAAGGACTGCCGCCCGGCTCATTGATGCGGCTGAGAGGCGTGCAGCAGCGAGGAGGATTTTAGCCGCTCGCAGATCAATAACCCGATCAGGGGAATTCTTGGAGAAGGGGAAGTAGGAGAATAAGGTCGGGGAAGGGGAATAGCACGCTGGGCACAGGTAGAGAGGGGCAATGGAGGGGTCCGGAAGGCAGCAAAGGTGGGAAACAGAGGGGCATTTGGAACAATGGACGAGCGGCGGACGCTTGGCTGAGTCGAGGACTTCGTAGCAAGAGCAACAGAAGGAGCCCGGATGGTACTTCAGTACGCAAGACGTGCAGAGACGGAGAAAGACGTTGTTTCGATGACGGACCTGATGAACTGGCCACGGATCCAAAGCTTCACATCCGTCTCCGAAGCAGCCACGAGCTGGAATGAGGGGAAGTTCGTCGCCTTTGCCAATTACCCCTGAGGCTTCACCTGATCGCCTCTCGAGCTTCTTCATGTTTTTCGGAGCATTGATATCGGAGTAGCTGGAAGAAGAGATCGAGAAGCGCTTGAAACCTCCGTCTGAAAATTAGGGTTAGGGTTTCGCTTGGGACAAATTGGGGAGGAAGGAGACGAACTTATATTTGAAATTTTAAGGGGAATTCACATACACGGCACTCAATTCTTTTTCATTTACTCATCTAACAAACTCTTATTTTACAATTAAAACCCCACAACTTGACCTTTTTCACCACTCTTCATCAGGTAGGGTGCTGATTTTGTAAAAAACAATGAGAGTTTGGGTGTGAGTTAAGTAATGCATATGAACTAGGTGCTGTGTATGTAAATTTCCAAAATATTAGGTATGTTTTTCTTAATTATATGTTGCATTTTAATTGTAATTCTTCGAGAGTATAACAACGCTTAGAAATAGTCTTTAACTGTTCTTGAGAAGATATGTATATTAAACTCAAATTTGTCACTGCATGGAGCGTAAATAGAGTGAGAGAGAAAAAGAAAATAAAATATGTAAAGAATGAAGTGTTTTGTTTGCAATTCTCGTAATTACCCTTTTTCATTTAACATTCAATCATTTATATAATGTACATGAATAACGGGTCAGCACGAATCTCAAAAAGGAATACAACAAACTTAGAATAAGTGATTTGATAAAATGAGACTCACTAGGAAAGTGATTGACACGTGACCCAAGAAGCCAACCAATAATCAAAACCAACAACTAAAAGTTAGGCGGTTCATGTAGGTAAAAGACTCACGAGATACAAGTCGGACGACAGTAGCAGCCAAGTGATTGAAGCAGCTGGACCTCTCAGGATCTGAGTTAACCGACAATTTTGCTCTTGCAAGACAATTTTCATGGTGAATGGATCAACACTATCTGCCTGCCTTCATAAGATCAGCTAACTAACTACACCTGCATTACTAGCCAACCAACATACCCAACTTGAATGGTTGGCTGACATGGTCGACTGCCTCATCGAATTGCCCAACTTACCAGGTCGAGGACCCAAAAGGTCCCGGTGCCCTACCAAAGCGAAATACCTATAACAACCTTTACAGTTCCTATAAAAGTAGGGTCATCCATATAATTTCATGTACCATCTCTCTTATGTCTATAAATAGATGATCATTTTATGAATGAAAAGTTATATATGTCCCTTGTGTTCATTAGCACACTCCTTTTCCCCCATTTTTCTCTCTTTTTCTCTCTCATGTTTTACGCTCTATTCCTTCGGTGTGACCTACAAGACAAGTTTGAATTCAACATCCTAAATCGTGCAGTGAGCATGAAGACATGCCACCAAGAAGAAAAGCATAGCATGACGAAGAAGCTCATATGAAAGATACGGGAAATATGGACAGGACTAGGGAGTTTTTCAACAAAAGATTCAAGAGCTAAGAGACTAGATGTTGGTTCAGATGATAGAGTTGAACCAGAGGTACACAGGTGAAGAGAAAAAGTCTCCGAGGAGTTGAAACCACAAGAGGAAGAACCTAAGAAGAGCTCACAAGCCTTATGATAGGTTTAGCAAGGATAGAATGAGAGCTTGCACTCTTAGATAACCAAATTTTAAAAAGAGATGTTGAACGATTCAAAGACATATCGATGGGAGTAATTGGCTCCTCTGTCAATTTCAAGAGAATGTTTATAATGCAGTATGCTAGTGCCCAGAGACCCAAGAAAAGCTCAGAAGTCTTTTGTTAGGTTAAGCAATAGTAAAATAAGAGCTTGAACTCTTACATAACCAGATTTCAGAAAGAAATGTTGGAGGTACAGGATCTAGTGCCTAGGGTGACCACATTGCCTTAATGCAAAGGGCTAAAGGGAGAGGGGTTTTGATATGGCCTTGACATACTGTAGCCAAAGACCGTGGTCATGCTATTGGAGATGGCTAACATCCACATCACAGCTGAAGAGAGTGTCAATGACTTCCACTACAAACTTGAACCATCAAATCGTTGCCCGTAGAAGAGAGCCTCGCGGGATAATGGGGGGAGGCCTAAGGATGGCCCACGTCCTTCTAACCATCCCCGATGCAAAGATAGCTGTCCGCCCCGCGATAATAGGGGAGTTGGGCAAATCCACCATCCTAAAGGAGAAATGAGGAGCCATGGCCAACAACCGACTCATTTTTATGAGTGGTCAACATGTGATCACGAAAGACCTAAACATCACTCCTTTGAGAGTTTCTATTGTAGAGATTGTTGAGGCCATTCAAAATAAGGAATGCTTCAAGCTTGCTCTTCGGATGAAAACTAGAGTTTTTCTTCCAGCCAAAACATGGAGGAGTGTGACCACCTTCATGGTCTGGTTGAAGAGCTGATCAGGGCTGGAAGCTCAAGGAGTTCGTAGCACCTGGGGTGGCTACTCGGAGGTAGGGGAAGGCCTCAGTTGAGGTGGTATCAGGTGGACTGATAAAAGCAAGCGCCATCAATATTGTAGGGGTGGTATTTATAATTCTAGGGGAAGATGGACATTACTTCTGACATGCTAGTCAATAAAGGTTCCAACCATGAGAGTTGTGCGCAGTTGTTTCAGTATGCAGTCCCATCCACCAATCAATTTTGCAGACGTTGACTGCTCATCAAGCCCAACCCCCTTTCACTGACGTTATCGTTATCAGTGCTCTGATAAGTGGCTACCAGATTGGTAGTTTTTTGGTTGGCATCTACAGTTCTCTGAACATCCTATTCAAATCAATGTTCGATAAAATGAACCTTTCTGCCAACCAGTTGGTTGACTGACCCTCTATATGGCTTTTACGAGGAGAGGAACGAAGATTTGGGAGTCATCCTACGGGAAGTAACATGGGATTGTAACAAAAAATTCTCCTACACCGAAAATTTCCTAGTGGTAAACTTGGCTCCTACCTACAAAATTATCTTTGTGCTCTCGTTGCTCAAGAACTTCAAAGTCGTGATCTCAACATAACACTTTGCAGTGAAGTTCCCGGGCGACAGAGAGAACACAAATGTTTGAGGAGACTTGGAATAATCTCTAACCTGCTACTTCTGGGTAATCAGAAGTGTAGAGTAGGAGCCCTTGGACATCCAACACCAAAGAGAGAGGGGTCTTGCAACCATCGAGGCCACTCTAGAAATTTGTGTGATTGATGGAGAGCTCAATAAATCTTTTTTAATCAATGAGAATTTTGATGCGGGGCACAAGGATTTGCTGATCTAAACTCTCCACGACCACCAAGAAGTTTTTCTTGATCCGCTTCTGTAATTTCAAACATCTCGATCGACGTGGGTTGTCACCATCTGAATGTTGGCCCAATCAAATGATCAATGAAGCATAAAAAAATAGGTCCTCCACCATGATGTTGGCCGAGTTGACTCGAGAATAGATGCAAAAGCTGAAGGAGTCTGACTACATCCAAAAGCTGCAGTTCCCATCCTGAACCTCCATTGTGGTGATGGTGTGAAAGGCAAACAACAAGTGGATGTGTGTGAAATTCACCAACATGAACTATGTTTGCCTAAAGGACAACTACCCACTGCGATAAATCGACGCTCTGGCGCACTCAACAGTCGACTATTCTGTGATGAGCTTTTTGGATGCCTTGTGGGAGGCAACCCATAATTTTCGGTCTGGATTAATTTGATTGGTGATTATTGTTATATTGATTTCATGCTGTTAAAGGAGTCTTACATGATTAAATTGGCACAAAAGTTAGTTTATTGATCAAGATGAGGTTGGGACGTGAAAATTGGACCTTGGGCATTTTTGGGTATTGACGCCTATGTGCCGAACTATAGGCCAAAGCGCCCCTTTTTCTACAAGCCTGGCGTCTAAGCACCCAATCTACTCCTAGGCACCGCAGTTCATCAATGTGTTGCCACACTCAAAAGATCTAAAATAATTTTTTGAGGGTTTGTCATTCAAAGGATTGAAATATTTTTTCTATATATATTGTGATTTTTAGGGAGTCTTACATGATTAAGTTGGCAAAAAAAGGAGTCTTACATGATTAAGTTGGCACAAAAAGTTGTGTCCTCTAATGACTCCCTAACGCAAAACAACCTCTAGGAACCCCTAAAAATCACTTTATAACAAGAATCACAGCTTGAGCCATTAAATTTCTTTCCTAAAGTGTTTTAATGCTCGTCAGTGTGGTCACACCAAGTTGCTGATGAAGTGGACTTGCTCAATTGAAGCAAGGTCACGCCACCCCTCTACCGGGGTTGGCATAGTCACGCTGCAGGACTTTGATAAATGGTGTGATCACGCCACGTCCAGGCGTGGTCACGCTGCTTCGGACTACTTTTAGCTGAAATTTCTAGTTCCAAATTGTTCATATTCAATATCTGCTACCTGCATGACTTCAACAGAAAAACTTTCTCAAGCATAAATTTGTGATAAATAAGTATAACATATAAAATGTAGGAAAAAAAACATGCGTACAATTACATAAAATTAACACATGTCAACATCTTTCTTTGAACTTAATTTGGATCATTTCCTTATCTTCAACACTTAATTTTAAAAGTTCAACCTCTGATGATTTGACTGATTACATTAACCGAGTGTTTTTGTTAGAGCTCACAGCTCTAAATATGTAAGTAACTATCAGGGCTTGATCACCCACACAGGGAATGCGACTGCAAAATTAAAATAAAACGTATCTCACCGTTGTAAGGTAAGGAAAAAACCCTAGTTCAGTAGACTTATGAAGTTTTTCATCATCAAAGTGGTTAGGGCTATTTTTAAAGTAATATTTTTTCCCTTTGAGAAGATATGTTGTTCTTCAAAATCTCGTGCCCAACCATCTAGATAGATGTTTTCTCAAAAGTTCTATATTGTGTGACGACATACAAAAAATCTCCCACCACTACCTTCCACCAATGTGGTTAGCCACCGTCGCAATCTCCCATCATCATACGTTGTTTGTCATCGCTCGCCACTGTGGTCGGCCACCACACACTGCTACCGACATTCTTCCACTGACACTACCACTACGAATCTTCAGACACACGTCACTAATATTAACTATTAATGAAAAAATTATTAAGTGCAATTAAATTCAAAACATTTATTTCTACCTATGCTAATTAATACTTAATTATTCACTTAATTGATTAACTAATAATAAGAAGCTTATTGAATTAATTATTTCTCAAGTAAAATTTAAAAATTAACTAATTAATAACTATCTAATTATTTATTAAAGCAATAAAAAATTAAATTCTGAATTAAATTTTTTTATTAATAAAATATTTACATACCAAATCCATATAATTATAATTTGTTTACAGTATATTTATCAATTATAATCATACAAATTAATTGAAATTATTGTAAAGGAAAATTACATGAGTAGGCACACAATTTATACACGAAAAATATGTATCTCACATTTTAAAGTAATAAGTGACTAAGAGTAGGGTTTCAAAAAACCTCGCCGTTTGCGAAGAGCTCCAGTTCGACTCGATAATTAACTCGTGTTTGATTCATTCATTAAGCATCCCAGCCCAACAAATAAATTTATTTTTAGCTCGATTTATAGTTCTGTTGGTTGCCAGGATATAGGCTTAGCCTCTTTTAATGCTTAGTCCCACATGGCTTGTATTCAAATAAGCTTCAATTATAAATAATTATTTCTAAGTTTTTGAAATCTCTTGCTAATTGTAAGCTTGAAAATTAAAAAAAAAAACAAAAAATTATTTTGAGTCCCATATTTTAGAAAATATTTAAAATTAAGAAATCTTTTGGAGTTAAATGAACTAAAGCAAATTAAATTTCTTGAGTTTGTATGTGGCGTACCGAAACTCCCTTTTAACTCTCTGCGGGCCGAAAGCCTCGCGTACTTCCCTCCGCACTAGTCCGAAACCGTTGTATATCTTCTCCTTCCCCTTCCCCCTCCCCCTGTTATGACCGAAACCTGGCAATACTGAGGCGACTACAGCTTGTTCTAAAGGCAGCAACGGGATTGTGGCGTACCGAAACTCCATTTTTTCTTCTCATCCGGCTCCGCTTCTACCCGAAACCATTGAGGAAGGTAACCCTGCCATTCCTCTCTGCCTCCTACTCGCGCTTCTCGCGCTTCAGCTCCTCCAAATCCCGTAAATCAGTCTTCCAACGGGATTTACTAATTCCCTGACTTAAGACAAATGGAAGAGAAACGAGATTTAGGATCCTGTGGGATTTAAAAGATTTCATTTTTGCAGCTCGACAGAATTTTGATTAAACCCTGCTTAAAGGGTTTTGAAACCATTCCTTAAGTTCTTTTTCTTACATTTTTTTTATTTTCTGTTATTTTGGGAGGTGAAATCTTTTTTAACCTTATTGGCAAGAATGCATTTCTATGATACTTGCCATTTTGGTTATCGGTTGGGTCGTTCGGGACGGTAAGCTCCTTTTGTGTTGCAACATTTTATGTTGTTTTCGTCAAAAGCATTGCTTCATATGATTTTATATGATGTAAAACACCAGGTGTTGATTGTCTTGGTGACGGTCCGGGCAATCAAATATGACTCCTCCAACACCTAGTAATACCCAGAAGTTAACTACGAATGATGCACTAGCCTATTTGAAGGCTGTCAAAGATGAGCAATCAAATATGACTCCTCCAACTATGACTCCTCCAACCCCTAGTAATACCCAGAACTTAACCACGAATGACGCACTAGCCTATTTGAAGGCTGTCAAAGATGCATTTCAGGATAAGAAGGAGAAATATGAAGAGTTTCTTGAAGTCATGAAGGGCTTTAAGAGCCATAGGTCAGACCTGAGTCTCTATGGTTACCTTTTAAGTTCTCCTATGATCTCTCAATATTTACGTTGATTGTTGCTATTGATATCTTATTTTTAATTTATCAGCCTATCTTCTGATTTTTTTTCCTTTGTGGCTGCAGGATTGATACTAGCGGAGTGATTTTAAGAGTGAAAGAACTTTTCATAGGGCATCGTGATCTTCTCCTAGGTTTCAACACCTTCTTGCCTAATGGGTACCAGATCAAGCTTCTCGAGGAAAACAAGCCTGTTCAATTTGAGGAAGCTATTAGCTTTGTAAACAAAATGAAGGTACTTGTATAATGATTATGTCTTGTTATAGTTGAATTCTATGTCTGAAACCTCTTTATATTGTTTAATCTATTTCTTTTTTTCTTATAGAGCCGATTCAAGAATAAAGAAAATGTATACAAAGCTGTCATAGATATTCTAAATATGTATCAATGGGAGAACAAGTCCATTACAGATGTTTATCAAGAGGTAGGTTATTATGTCATTGGTATTATATTCTGCTAGGACTTATTTACAAAAAACCTTTTTTTGAAGCTAATTCATCATGATTTATTGTAGGTTGCAGTTCTTTTTCAGAGTCATCATGATTTGCTTGAGGAATTTACAAAATTTTTGCCCAATTCCTCAGCTAAGACTACTCTACAACATCTATCTTTTATAAGAAAATTTGTAAGGCTTGATGAGAGGAGTTTTCTAATGCCATTTATAAGAAATCTTTTAATGATAAGGCACCTATAAAATAAACTACTGTTGAGCGCTCCTTTTTTTTCTCAATTTAATTTTATTTTGAATTGAAGATTTTTTGCTCCAAAATTTACATGGTAGTGGTGGGATTGTTTTATTGCCATTAAGAGCTCCAGTTTTATTTTTAAATTAGTCTTAAATGATTTGTTTCAATTTATTTGCTCCACCTTTATGGTTCACTTTTATTTTTTTTTACAAAATAACATCTTGAAAAAAGACTTTGTGGCTCACTCCACAAAATAATTGATTCTTGTTTTTATGCCTTGATGGTGTCTTTCCCCTCAATAAGTATTAGTTGATTTAAATTTAATTTTACATTTAAAATTGTTCTGTTTGCAATAACAGTTGGCTTTTAATATAGCTCTCCTGACATAACGGCAACAGATCCAAGGATCATTACTTCATCTTTAGATTACATATAGGTCTTTTATTTTATTGAAATCAAGCTGTCAGAGGAATAACTTGCTTAATATTTGTTCTTCAATTATATACTCACCCCACTTCCATTTCATCAATCAAAGTAGACTGTATGGCATTAATATTTTTCTTCATTTAATTTTTCATCATAAATGATGATTAATTTTGAATGTCAATTAGTGTTTTAATGTTTTATTTTGATTTTCTAATTTTTGTTAATATTATAAAATTGAAAAGCAATTTTAAGATATGATCTCAAGTACTTTATCTATTAATTTCTATTAATTTGTATTTAAAAATATGAAAAAGATTTGTTAGAATAAGTAAGATTTTAAGATAAACTAAAACAACTTGAAAACTATTGAGATGTATTGCACCGTTTATTGCACCGTTGAAGCTGAAAGTAATTTTTTGAATTTCGATTCCTAGCTTTTTTTTTATGATAGATTCACATTGAATTTTCAAGGTATTTTTTTACATCGTCTTACTTTTCAAGTTTATGTGATAATTACTAATTTTTAGTATCAATTTATTTATTTTTGAGTAAACTAATTTTAGTCTTTATTGTTGGTTTTGATTTTTCTTTCATCCTTACATATTAATTTTCTCAATTAAATATTTATAATTTAATTTTATTGAAATCACACCAATCACGCCAACAATTCAAATAAAATAATAGAAGAAGTCAAGTTTCATTCAAATGAAATGATTGAATATAGATTTATCATATACGAAATATCGCCCAAAATGTTATTCATTTACCTTAATTCTTCATCTTCTTCTTTTATGAAGTTTCATTTCAAATTAAGAGGAATGCAATAATTACCATCAAGTCAATGGGCAGGAATTAAAGTATGATGATTTATAGTCAGGATCTTAGAGCTTTATAAGCTGGGTGGTGGCTTAATGTGAATGCTATCATTTTGTTTGAAAGGAATTTTACTTCGTACTTTCTCATTTGAGTTTTTGACATGATTACAATAATTTTAAATTTTCGGGACTTAATTTGTTCAAATTTAATTATAAGACACAAGATTGAACCGGAGCAAAACTATATGAGCTAAAAAAATGGTTTAACTTTTCTTGGGTATACCTTCTAATTTGTTCAAATTATCATATATTGTGCAATGAGGTTCTAACATTCTTTTCCTCAGAAGGAAAGGACACATAGTTTACGCTTGGAGTGCGACTGTAGCATTGATAGTCCTAATCTGGATCATGAACAGAGGCACACTGAGCAGGAAAATGACAGAAAGCAAGAAAGGGATAGTCGAAAACGGGATAGGGATGAGAAAAACTTTGAGCTTGATAGTTGTGAGTTAGAGTTAGTCCGTAAAAGGAAATCTTCTCGTCGTGTTGATGGCTCTGAACTGGTACACCAAGGAGTAGAAGTTGCTGAAAACCTTGGAATGTACAACATGTCTGCTTCATTTGGAGATAAGAATTCTTTGAAGAGTAAGTTTGTTATTTTTCTTATGAGAAATGCATGTTCTAGGTAAAATGCTTTTGCTTTTGATTTATTGTTTTTGAAATGCAATAATCCTTACACTTTTGCCTCAATGAAGAAAGGGATAGTCGAAAACGTGATAGAGATGAGAAAGACTTTGAGCATGATAGTTGCGAGTTGGAGTTAGCCCGTAAAAGGAAATCTTCTCGTCATGTTGATGGCCCTGAATTGGTACACCAAGGAGGAGAAGTTGCTGAAAACTTTGGAATGTACAACATGTTTGCTTCATTTGGGGATAAGAATTCTTTGAAGAGTAAGTTTGTTATTTTGCTTATGAGAAATGCATGTTCTGGGTAAAATATTTTTGTTTTTGATTTATTGTTGTTGGATTGCAATAATTCATGCACTTTTGCCTCAATCCTAGGGGTGTTATTCTATTTTTTGTCAATTTGTTTATCCGAATTATTGGAAATGAAACTGTTTTACAGTTGAAAACTTGATAAATTCAGCTTTTCTTATGTACGGGGACTAAAAATCTTTAGCTTCGAAGGACTGAGGTCCTTTGAATTGTATTGTTATATGAGTTTATTTTTTTTCTGGTCCCGAATATGGTCTCCCTAGACCACGCTTTTTACATTATAAGCATGAGTTAATAATTTGATTGTTTAATCTTTTAGTTTTTAAAGAATTCACAAACTGTAGACAATTTGTTTGTGTTGTCCACATTATACTTAATGTTTTCTTTCATCTATTTCATTCAATGCTTTTTTAGGTATATATGCAGAAGAATTTACTTTTTGTGAGAAAGTTAAGGAGAAATTGCACCCGGATGCCTATCAGGAGTTTCTTAAGTGCTTGCATATATATCGCAAGGAGATTATTACCAGAACTGAACTGATGAATCTGGTATAACTTTTCTTCTATTTGTCCACTTTCCAATTTATTTGATATTTATGCTTTGCAATTCAATTAACTATTATTATTGTGTTTTTTGGGTGAGTAATCCTCTGCTTCTTATTAATTTTTGTGAGTTACCTGTTATTTATTCGAATTTTTGTGTGATCTTGCTTCTCCTAGAATGGTGGCTGATTAATTTACTATGAGCTTCGATAAAGTCAGCATGTGAAGTGTTACGAAGTTATGTTTTGGCGATGAGAAGTTGACATAACATTCTTGAGTTCCCACCAGTATATGGTTTGTAATAAAAAAACGAACGTAAATTTTTTTGTCTAGTTGGTGTAATATGAGTGGGTTAATGGGCTTATATGTTCAACACTATACTGTTTATTTGTAGCTATTATTTTTTGGTACATATGAAAATATAATCTCTCCAGTTTGTTCGGAAACTAGAAATTATTGTCATGCAATCTAAAAATGATAGGAAGTTATGTCACATATTCATTTATAAGTTGAAAATGTTGTTCTATTGCATACCAAATTGGCCAAAAAACTGATACTATGTGTATTCGAGCTATTATAATGGTTTGTTCCATTTTATTAAAGGCATATTTATTGATAAGTGTTGGCAGTGGAAGAAAATGAAAATTCAGTTTTATTTGGATTTTAAGTGTTTTTTTTTTGCTTGAATCATTGTTGTTATTTGTTATGGCTTTTGATGATTTTATTACTATTCTTTTGCGAAACCAAAGTATCTGTGTATATCTTAACTTCAACTTTCAATTTACCGTATCATTTTCTATTATTGTTATCTTAATGGAAAGTATTTGTTAGAGGAATCGATCAGTGTTAACCATATATGGAGTACATTAAGTCCTTTTGTTTTTTGTGGGTGAGCTAAAACATGTAGAGCAAGGGGCTTAACTATGTGTGTTTCTTTATTTCTGCATGCACTACTCCATATTTTGTATATCCATATGTTTTTGATTCAACTAAAAAAACCTTTACTGTTTCATTTTTGCGTGAAATTGATTTGCATGATTTTCAGGTTATTGATATCCTTGGAAAACATTCTGATATCATGGACAATTTCAACGAGTTTTTGGCCCACTGTGAGAATATGGGTAAGACCTGAGCTTGCACTATTAATATTTCTATTATTTTTTCTCTTGTTTATTGAAGTATATGGTTTTTTTTATCCGGAATTTCTAATTGATGTAAATCGATTTCAGGGCATGTTGTATCATCTCGTGAAATAATTAATCCTAGTTATCGTATGTTGTCTCCAAATGTAAGTACAATATTTTCTGAATGTTTTGTTTGATGTTATTCTAGACAAGTTCATGAATTGCCTTTAGTTTTCTTTTACTGCATTGTTTTCTTATGCAGCACCCAATGCCTGCTACAACCCACAGGACTAAGCTTGGTAATTCAGTACTGAATGATACATGGGTATCAGTGGCTAGTGATACTGAAGACTATTCTTTTAAGAACATGCCAAAAAATCCATACGAGGAAAGTTTATTTAAATGCGAGGATGATAGGTAAGACTTTTTTTCATTTTATAATCCATAGAATGTATTGTCAATAATTTCAATATTTCTATTCTATGGAACAAGTCATAGAGTACAAAATAATACTTTATAATTTGATCCATTTCACATCTCATGTTTTTTTTGAAAGAAATGAGTTATTTTAAGAATATATTTTTTCTTGAGCATTTGATGTAGGATAACTTAGGATTATGAGGGTGGCAAATTTAATGAGAGTGGCAAATTTAAGGTTAACCCGAGATCACAAGAGTTAACCCGAGATCACAACTAGTGAATGTTATATCAAATATACTACTATATTTACATTCAAGATAACCTGTGCTAGAGTTCATATAAAATGAAGATGAAATCTCTGGTGGTGTCTTATTTACTACTTCATCTGCCTTATGAAAATTTAACCTGGAGCTCAATATAAAACTCCCTCATTCATTTTTTGAGGAAGGTTGAGGCACAAATTTTTGAAGCCCACAGATGTTAAGGTTCACAAACTCTAACTATGGTTATTTGCAAATCAATTCAAAAGGTTGCAAGTCACCAACACCTTGTAGGCATAAGTTTTGCTTGAATAAAAGTAAATTTTAATAGAAGCAATAGGGTATAAATGATACATAAAATGCCATAGAAAATAAGAGAAACTCACAAGGAAATATTTCACAATCCCCCCATGAAAATTCATCTAAGAGCTATATCTGCTAGTCCTCCAAGGGAACTCTCTGTTTGGAGTCAAATAATACCACTCCAATTTGAAGCATTCAATAGAATCTTTGATTTCTTCTCTTGAATCACTATTTTGGGCTGATTGATATGGCTAAATTTTTTTTTACATTCAAAATATTTCTTTTAAACACATAGTTAGCCCTTCAATTTCAAATGAAAAATAATCATAACTAATTAGTATGAAATTTGGGTTTAGTCATTGATTCGGTGATGAACCGCCTTGTTTGCCAAGCATCACATACATTGATTCTTTCATCCATTCTTGCACTCATACATGCATTCATGAATGTATACAGACTTTAATAATTGACATTCTTTATCATCCTCTTATTTGCAAAGTATATTGAATTGTAATTTAGTTATCCCGTATAATTGTATTAATTAATGCTTCGTGGATTTTATTCAATGTTTAAGTTTGGCAGCCTTGATATATGATAATAATAATAATTATTATTATTTATTTTTTTAACTTTTATATGGTTTCAGGTTTGAGCTTGACATGTTAATAGAGTCAGCAAAATCCACAACTAAGCGAGTTGAGGAATTGCTGGAGAAAATGCAGAATAACACCTTCAACCTAGAATCTCCATTTCACATTGAGGACTACTTTACAGGTTAGTGTGCATTGCAAAAATACTCAGTTTGACACCCTATTTATCATTTATCCATATGAAGTGCAGCTTACACTCTTCTTTTGCTGTATAGTTCTACATTTGAGGTGCATTGAACGATTGTATGGAGACCATGGGTTGGATGTTATTGATGTTTTACGCAAAAATGCTACTAATGCATTACTTATAATTTTGACTCGTCTGAAGCAAAAGCAAGAGGAATGGTCAAAGTGCCGTGCAGATTTTAATAAGGTGTGGGCAGAAATTTATTCAGAGAACCATCAAAAATCACTTGACAATTGTAGTTTCTCTTTCAAGCAACATGATACAGAGAATTTGAATGCAAAAGGTATGTTGCAATTTACTTGCCATTTGTCTCTAAATTTTTTTATTAATAGGAATTTATAGAATTCTAGGTTTCTTTCCTCACTTTTACTGGAAAGATAAGTTGTGGTATGTTGGTTTTTCACGAATTATTGAGTCATATTTATATCGATATTAGTATCTTTGATTTCCGCCGCAACTCAACGGACTAAAATTAAAGAAATTAGTGAGAAAAAGAAGGAGGATGATGTAATTCTTGCTATCGCTGCTGGAATTGGTGACCTGTAATTCCCAGCACCGAATTTGAATATACATATCCAAATATCTTCAATGATATCTATTAGATCATTAAATATTCAAGTCGAGAAGTATCACATCCTCCGACCAGTTGGACAAAGTCTTGTGTATATGGACTACCTTTTGGAACCAATATTTGGTGTTCCTCTTCGCACTTTGGGATTAGAGGATGTTGAGGGTGTCTAAAAAAACTAGAGTTCATAATAAAAATAGTGTAACAAATGCAGTGAAAGTAATGGTACTTCTGATGTTGTTGGAGTTATGGAAAATTCCAATTCAGCTAAAATTGATGGCGACATTGTTCAAGAGCTGGCTACAAGCAAGATTAGAGCTGCAAATGTTAATGTAGTGGTTCTTGGCAATGATATTCATGATAATTATGTGTATAAATATGAATGTTTAGGTGTGAGTTATGTAAATGCATAAAAATTGTGGGGGGGCTATGTTTGTAAATGCCCTTGGGAAATTTACATACCTAGCACACAATCCTTATGTATTTACATATATCTTACCAATAACATTCATATTTACATACATAGCACTTTGGTGCTTTAAACCTATGCATGAAAATTTTTATTTCACTTTTAAAAAGTAATAATAATTCTTTTTTTTATGTGATATTAATGATTTCAGTGGTGTGTGTAAATATGATAGTTTAGGGGTGAGATGTGTAGATACATAAGAATTATGAGCTATGTATGTAAATGCTCCAATGGTAATATCTCGAAAACCCTTGTTAATGGAAGAGTTCCGACTAGTGCAATTGCAGATGAAAGCCTGTTATGATTATGCTTGATGCCCCTGGTGGTCATTTAATTGATAGTGGTTGTTGCTTCCAGAATGCAATCTAATATTTATGTCATGAATGGTAAGTATTAATTAAAGTGTTAATCCCTTCTTATTCTTCTTAATCTTGTTTTGAATTTAATTTTGTTGCACAAGATTTAGTGAAGTTACAAAGTCCAATCATACTCGTTCTGAGGCCGTCGGTGAGGCTCGTGCTCGCAATGTTCTTCCTCTTTTAGAGGTACACAACAAAGTCTGAGCCTGACAACATCATTAGACACTCCATCATATTTAAAAGTAGCACATATTTCAAGACATTATTTAAAAGTAGCACATATTTCAAGAAAACTAGTAAGATGTAAGTTAGGATCTTCAGTAGGTGTTCCTATAAACTAATTATTTTGTATCATTTAAATAATAACAGATTTAAGCTCAAATGAATTAGCAGCTACATCAGGATTTTGAATAGTCAAGTGAAGTTCATCTTCTGTAGGATTAGCAAAATCTTTTAAAGGTCTTTGTTGATTTTCATTTATTTGATTATCTAAGTTATTCGCCATTTTATTCAAAATTTTAATTTCTTTTTGTTGTTTTCGAACTTTTCTAATAGTACGTGCTAATTCTGAATCGTAAGACACTAAACCTTCAGATCCAACACTGCACATAAACAATTATAATAAACAAGGAAATATTTTTTAAAAATACTCTTAAATGATTTTTTAATGATTTTTTAATTTTTTTATATATTTATTGTTAAATTTCCTAATTTACAAAATCTATTTAATTTACCGTTACCTTCCCCGACAACGACGCCCGACAACGACGACGCCAAAAACTTGATCCCGAAAATTATAGTTGTGTAAAATTAATGAAGATGACTCTGCTTTGCAACGATGCCAAAAACTCGGTTTGTTATTTATTAATAAGAAATTGAAGCAATTTATGTTGGGATTCTACAAAGTATATGTATCGTTTTCAAGTAATACAAGATTTTCTGTTTAAGCCCCAAATATCGATTCCATGGGGAAAGTTTAAGTTTGAGATGGTAATTTAAATTAGGAATTTCACAATAATAAAGAAAGTCTACTATACTAATTTCAAATACTTAAGGTGCTAGAAAAACTAAATTGTCAACTACTAGCAAGATTGTAAAGTAAAGTTAAACTATAACTATCAAACTATGTTTCTGTGATGAAGTTATCAAATATGAGAAATCATCTTTCCCACTATAATGAGTTTTTGGTTAAATGAGAGAGATAAATGGTTTGAATTTGTATTGTGCCAAATATGACAATTTTAATTCTCTATCCCTAATAGAGTGCTATAGAGAAAATTATCAAATATTAGAAACTTAATATTTCTTAAAAAGAATATTAGTTATGACTTATAATTAATTCTTAAAAAATCAAACACTAATGAATATCAAGCAAGAAAAGTGCATAATAATGATATGCTATTATGCTTATATGGTTGATGAACTTCTTTAAAAAATGTTAATAGAAATTTTTTAAATATTAGACTTGGTGAACTATGCAAAACTTTAGAATTGACCAAAGTGCGGTCTTTTTCAATTTTAGATTTCTTTAAAAGAATTGGTTATTGAGCACTTTCTTTAAATATTGATGTCAATAACTTTTCATAATAAAATTTATTTTAAATGTTTGAATTTCTCTAAACCATAAACTAAAAATAAACTCAACTTTAAATTAATCACCCGTCTTCAAAGAAAAATAGTAAATAATTCATCAAATGTTGCATTTTTGTCAAGCATGATCAGTTCTTTACATTCAAGTAAAAATTCAATCTTAATCGGATGGTCAAATTTTCTTCTTTTTTTTTTAGTTCGATCATTCTGTTAATTTTATTCTTATGTTTGAGTAAAGATACGAGGGATGATAGTTATTTTATTTCCAACTTTTAGGATAGTATTTGTTTGGCATAACTTCAATCATAATTTAAATTAAGTTATTTTTCATTAGAATTTTTAATTCCAACAAAATACTAAGAACTTTGGATTAATATTCGAGTTGGTCTAAAGTTGTGGTTTTTGACATTATTAATTAAACTAAAAAAAGGATAAAAGTTGGATGGAGGATGGAGGATGGAGGATAAAAAAGCCCTTAATTGCAGTAGTTTTTCAAGGGGACAAGGCAAATTGTGTGTTTTGTTTATATGTTTCTTGTTTCCATGAGGTTAGTTTGTGCTTTGAATTTCATTATTTATGGCGTGGTCAATGCAAAAGTCATACATGTCCTATATCACTAGCCTGTCGTATTCATTTGGGGGCTCTAGAGTGAGGTTGATTTGGAAAGTTTAAATCAAATGTTAGTTTGACTGATTTTATATTTGAAATTAAATTGAAATTAGTTTAAACTTTATTTGGGACTTACCTTGCACCTATTTTATTTACCAACATAGGCCATGAATAGTGTAGAAATAGTGATCTTAGGTATGCATCATGATTATTTTTGGCTTGAATAAATTTTTTCTTTTCAATTTCAATCTTATGATTGTAAGTTGTATGCAAGATTTTTTTCTCAATTGTGGTTTAATTTTTGGGGAAAGTCGTCTCCTTGTATCGTCACTCTATTTATTTTATTTATTTATTTTTAAATTTATCATCGCTTTATTTTATTTGCGTATTTTTTATTAACTTGTTTAATAATTTTCATTTTAGTCAAAAGGTGTTGCATCATAGATTTAAAGATGAGTTATCATAAATTTAATTTGTGATAATTAAATTGATTTGCTTACTAATTTAGTCGTTTCTAAATTTTAGTTTAAATTCTTGGTTTTTTTTTAATTATTGTATCATCGATTAATTTTAAAGTTCAATGTCGTTTATTGTTATTTAAACAAAGCAAGCTGTTGAATTAGTTAGTTACTTGTGATCTATAAGATATTTATGCTATGATGCATCATATTAGTTGCATCATAAATCCTGAGCCTTGTTTTTCCCGAAACATCACCAAGTATCTAAGTTTAATTGTTTTCTTTTCTTTATAGGTTTTTGATGCTATGATGCATGGATACTCCTTATTCATATTTAATAGCTTATATAGCTAATAATCCTTTCATGCATATTAATGGGAAGGTATCAAGGTTGGTGAAGAGGTGATGGATTGATCACGGTTAATGGAAGGCTAAGTTAGGTATCAATTTTAGGTTTTCATGGTATGTTAATGGTTGAAATTATTTGGTTGTGGGTTGAAATTTTTTGGTTTGGGGTGGGGGGGTTTTTTTTTTTTTTTTTTTTTTTTTTGGGCTGAAAAATTATGAGGGAGCTAAGAAGCTAAAGTTTTGGATGTTTTCTAATTGTAGCAATGTTAGACTAATTGAATTGGATTTTTAAAAGTTATAATTTTCATGAATTTATTACAACATGCGGATCAAAACTGTATTTTGTTGAAAAGAATATATATCATTTGTTAGGAGGGATGAAATGATTTTTAATGCTTTGAGAAAAATGTGAGGATATGAAAGAGTAAGAAACAAGAGAGAAAAGAGATGTTAACCCACATGTTTGTGTTATTATTTAATGCAAACCTAAATATAAATAAGGTCAAGTCAAAGGGAAGTACCAGATGCAATATCAAGCAAGACGAATCAAAATGATTTCACCATGATTAAAATCACATACATCCAATTAGCGCAAGGAGGGGTCCATACAAAATATTCCCCACCACTGCCTTCCACCAATGCGGTTAGCCACCGTCGCAGTTTGCCATCGGCTTACGTAGTTTGTCATCGCTCGCTACTATGGTTGGCCACCACACACTGCTATCAGCATTCTTTCACTGACACTGTCTCGCATCGTTGATCTATGTCTGACACTATCATCCACCACCAGTCACCATCGCAATCCATCGCCAACCATCATTCTCGCCTGTCATTAGTCATCTTCGCCACCCTCGTTGAATTGCCACTTTCCACCTCTGGCCACCACCCTCCACTGGTCTCCACCAGTGCATTTTGTTGCCAGTTGCTACCGGCAGTCTTCACTGAAAAAAATTCAATTTTGTATATTTTTTACTCGATATTCATAATTTTTGGGCAAAAAAGCAAAATTGCTCGAAATTGGGGGTAACTGATACTTCAAGAAAAAAAATTGTCATTTAACATGAAACTCAAGGCCATTAGCCTTAATCTTAATAAATTTTTTAGTAAGAAACAATCAAACTCAAATTGAAAGTTATCCATTACTTTGATTTCAACAAACCTATGGTCATATTGACCAACTTGATAATATGGACCCAATAACATCAAAGTCCAATTTGAGTAAATTAATCTCAAATCAATACATTAAATAATTTTAGGAAGCTTTCAGTGATCAATTGAAAGGCCAAATGGATTTCAGTTATGACAAGTGTGTAGTCAAACCAAGCGTCTTGACAAGGAATGCCCAACGAGCCCAATATCACTCAATTTTGACATTGTCAGGACACATTAATGTTAAAATAACTATTCAATTAAGGGAATCTCTCTAGGTTGTCTAATGGAGTAGTCCAGATCCATTTCTTTTCTATAGTGAGGCCATCGCCAGACCGCTTAAATAGAGATCTACCCCTATCATGAAAGGTGAGCATAAACCTTGAATAAGAGGAAAAGATGGATGTGCAGCTAGTTGGAGAAGAAAGAGTTGAATTCTACTGTCATTCCAGACTGAAGAACTGATGAAATCTTTTCACTCTTGTAGACATTGAATGTCGTCGAGTATCACTCGCCGACCATCGTCGGTCACCCCTACTCATTGCAATGAAGGCCCTATTAGACTCGCAATGTATATTGTAAAGGAATAAAACACAACACTAAGTAAAGATCGATGTCGCGGAGTAAAAACCAACATCATCGAGTAACGATAATCATATAAAGGAGAGCATCATCCGCCGTAAAACGATGCACTTCTAAAATTTTGCATTGAAATCCTGACAATTACTCCCAATTTCAATTCGTCTTGAACGTTGCACAATGAACCCTTCTGCCTTCAACCATTGTACTTCAAGGAACCATGTAATAGTTTTCCACCTATGTGACTGGTGCATGTGCGTGTACTCGTCAACTTTTGGTAGATCATTCTGATTGGGCTAGGTCCCATGAATTTTGTTCTTATTGGGGTTCCACATAAAAATTTCTTATGACACTATCTATCACTTTAATTATCTATATGTGTGTTGGAATTTCATGCAATGCTAAGATGCTAAATAATTAGTCTACCACTACAAAGCCTCAGATACACATCAATAATATTAAATATTATTGAAAAAATTATTAAGTGTAATTAAATTCAAATTAAACTTTTATTTCTAACTATGCTAATTAATACTTTATTATTCACTTAATTGATTAACTATTAATAAGAAGCTTAGTTAATTAATTATTTCCTAAGTAAAATTTAAAAATTAATTAATTAATTAATAATTATCTAATTATTTATTAAAGTAATAGAAAAATTAAATTGTGAATTAAAATTTTTTATTACTAAAATACTTACATATCAAATACATATAATTATAATTGTTTACAATATATTTATTAATTATAATCATATAAATTAATTGAAATTACTTTAAAGGAAAATTACTTAAGTAGGCACACAAATCTTATTTGTTTACATATCTCAGGTTACACATGAAAAATATGTATCTCACATTTTAAAAGTAATAAGAGACTAAGAGTAGGGCTGTTAAAAAGCCTCACCGTTTGCGAAGAGCTCATGTTTGACTCGTTATTTAGCTCGTGTTTGATTCATTCATTGAGCAAGCGAGCCAAACAAAAAAGATTATTTTTAGCTCGATTTATAAGTGAGCCTAACACAAACGAATGCTTGTTTATTCGTGTTTGGCTCATTTTGACTTAAAATAACTAAATAATTAACAATAATATTTAGGTACATCATTTTTAGATTATTTTTTAGTGGTATTAAAAAGCTAAATATTATCATTTTTTTAAATTATTTTAATGTTATAATCATAAAAAAAAATAGGTATAGTGTTAGATATATAAATAAATAGGATATGGGTGTTAGTATGTAAATTTTTCTAAAATAGAACACTCATGTCCCTTCTTTGATTTAGGAATTATGTATGCAAATACATAAGAGTTGGGTGATATGTATGTAAATGCTGTGAGGCTTCTCCCGTAAACCTTCTATTCTATTATGGTAGATTATGTAAATACATAAAAAATTGGGTGGTAGTGAAAAGCCATAATTCTGCCATGATACAAACTTAAGTCTCTTTTAATGCTTAGTCTTACATCGCTTGTATTCAAATAAGCTTCAATTATAAATAATTATTTCTAACTTTCAAAATCTACAAAATATTAGTTTGGGTCCCATATTTTAGAAAGTATTTGAAATTAAGGAATCTTTTGGAGTTAAATGAAATGAAGCAAATTAAATTTCTTGAGTTTTGAGTTCCTCAAAATTAAGCCAAGAGTACGTGGCGTACCGAAACTCCCTTTCAACTCTCTGCGGCCCGAAAAGCTCGCGTACCTCCCACCGCACTAGTCCGAAACCGTTGTATATCTTCCCCTTCCCCTTCCCCTTCCCCTTCCCCTTCCCCTTCCCCCCGTTATGACCGAAACCTGGCGATACTGAGGCGACTGCAGCTTGCTCTAAAGGCAACAACGGGATTGTGGCGTACCGAAACTCCCTTTTTTCTTCTCCTCCGGCTCCGATTCTACCCGAAACCATTGAGGAAGGTAACCCTGCCATTCCTCTCTGCCTCCTACTCGCGCTTCAGCTCCTCCAAATCCCGTAAATCAGTTTTCCAACGGGATTTACTAATTCCCTGATTTAAGACAAATGGAAGACAAACGATGTTTAAGATTCTGTAGGATTTAAAAGTTTTCATTTTTGCGGCTCGACAGAATTTTGATTAAATCCTGCTCGAAGGGTTTTGAAAACATTCCTTGAGCTCTCTTTTTCTTACATCATTTTATTTTCTGTAATTTTGAGAGGTTAAATCTTTTTTAACCCTGTTGGCAAGTATGCATTTCTATGATACTTGCCTTTTCGGTTATGAGTTGGTCAGTTAGGGAAGCTAAACTCCTTTTGTGTTGTACCGTGCTCTGTTTTTTTCATCAAAAGCATAGCTCCATATGCTTTTATATGATGTAAAAAACCAGGTATTGATTGTCTTGGTGACGGTCCGGGCAATCAAATATGACTCCTCCAACCCCTAGTAATACCCAGAACTTAACCACGAATGACGCACTAGCCTATTTGAAGGCTGTCCCTAACCTATTTGAAGGCTGTCAAAGATGCATTTCAGGATAAGAAGGAGAAATATGACGAGTTTCTCGAAGTCATGCAGGACTTTAAGAGGCAGAGGTCTGGCCCGAGTTGCTATGGTTACCTTGAAGTTCTCCACTGCTTTCTCAATATTTGTGTTGATTGTTGCTATTGATATCTTATTTTTTAATTTATCGGTGTATCTTGTGATTTTTTCCTTTGTGGTTGTAGGATTGATACTAGCGGAGTGATTTTGAGAGTGAAAGAACTTTTCAAGGGGCATCGTGATCTTCTCCTAGGTTTCTACACCTTCTTTCCTAATGGGTACCACATCAAGCTTCCCGAGGAAAATAAGCCTGTTGAATTTGAGGAAGCTATTAGCTTTGTAAACAAAATGAAGGTACTTGTATAATGATTATGTCTTGTTATAGTTGAATTCTATGTCTGAAACCTCTTTCTATTGTTTAATCTATTTCTTTTTTTTCCTGTAGGACCAATTCCAGAATGATGAAAATGTATACAAAGCTTTCATAGATATTCTAAATATGTATCGAAGGGATAATAAGTCCATTAAAGATTTTTATCAAGACGTAGGTTATTATGTCATTGGTATTATATTATGCTAGGACATATTTTTGAAGCTTAATTTATCATGATTTATTGTAGGTTGCGGTTCTTTTTCAGAGTCATCATGATTTGCTTGAGGAATTTACACATTTTTTACCCAATACCTCTGGTACGACTGCTCCTTAACGTCTATCTTCTATAAGATAACTTGTAAGGCTTGATGAGAGGAGTTCTCTAATGCCATTTATACGGAATCCTTCAATGGTACGACACCAACAAAATAAACTACTGCTGAGCGCTCCTTTTTTTCCTCAATTTAATTTTATTTAGAATTGAAGATTTTTTGTATGTTAGTTTGCTTGCACACAAAGATCTACGTGGTAGTGGAGGGGATTGTTTTACTGTTATTAAGAGCTCTGTTTTTATTTTTAAATTAGTCTTAAATGATTTGTTTCAATTTATTTGCTCCACCTTTATGATTCACTTTTTATTTTTTATTTTTACAAAATAGCATCTTAAAAAAAGACTCAATATCTCATTCCACAAAATAATTGATTTTGGTTTTTATGCTTTGATGGTGCCTTTCCCCTCAATAAGTATTAGTTGATTTAAATTTAATTTTACATTTAAAATTGTTTTGTTTGCAATATACAGTTGGCTTTTAATATAGCTCTCCTGACATAAAGGTAACAGATCCAAGGATCATCACTTCATCTTTAGATTACTTATAGGTTTTTTATTTTATTGAAATCAAACTTGTAGAGGAATAGCTTGCTTAATATTTGTTCTTCAATTATGTACTCATCCCACTTCCATTTCATCAGCCACAGTACACTGTATGACATTATTATTTTTCTTCATTTAATTTTTCATTATAAATGATGATTATTTTTGAATGTCAATTGGTGTTTTAATTTTTTATTTTGAATTTCTAATTTTTGTTAATATTGTAAAATTGAAAAACAATTTTAAGATACTATCTTAGGTACTTTATCTATTAATTTATATTTAAAAATAGGAAAATGATTTTTAGAATAAGTAAGATTTTAAGATAAACTAAAGCAACCTAAAAATTAAATTAAGGAGATGTAAGGAGATGTATTGGACCGTTGAAGCTGAAAGCAATTTTTTGAAATTCGATTCCTATCTTTTTTTTATGATGGCCCCACATTGAACTTCCAATGTTTTTCTTTATAACATGTCTTCTTATTCAAGTTTGTGTGATAATTACTAATTTTTAGTATCAATTTGTTTATTTTTGAGTAAACTAATTTTTAGTCTTTATTGTTGGCTTTGATTTTCTTTCATCCCTACATATTCAATTTTCTCAATTAAATATTTATAACTTAATTTTCTTGCAATCACACGCAAAATTCAAATAAAATAATAGAGGAAGTCAAGTTCCATTCAAATGAAATGATTGAGTATTGATTTATGATTTAAGACATTCCGCCAAAAACTTTATTCATTTATCTTAATTCTTCATCTTCTCCCTTTTTGAAGTTTCATTCCAAATTAAGAGGAATGCAATAAATACCATCAAGGCAACAGACAAGAATTAAAGTATGATGATTCGTAGTCGGGATCTTAAAGCTTTGTAAGTTGGGTGGTGGGCTTAAAGTGAATGCTGCCATTTTGTTTGAAAGGAATCTTACTTCGTACTTTCTCATTTGAGTTTTTGACAATATTGCAATAATTTTAAATTACTGGAACTTAATTTGTTCAAATTTAATTATAAGACACAAGATTGAATCGGAGCAAAACTATATGAGCTGAAAAAATGATTTATCTTTTTTTGGGTATACCTTATAATGTGCTCAAATTATCTTATATTGTGCAATGAGGTTCTAACATTATTTTCCTCAGAAGGAATAGACACAAAGTTTATGCTTGGAGTGCGACTCTAGCGTTGATCATCCTAATATGGATCATGAACAGAGGCTCACTGAGGAGGAAAATGATAGAAAGAAAGAAAGGGATAGTCGAAAACGAGATAGGGATGAGAAAGACTTTGAGCATGATAGTTGCGAGTTAGAGTTAGCCTGTAAAAGGAAACCTTCTCGTTGTGTTGATTGCCCGAAACGGGTACACCAAGGAGGAGAAGTTGCTGAAATCCTTGGAATCTACAACATGTCTACTTCATTTGGGGATAAAAATTCCTTGAAGAGTAAGTTTGTTATTTTCCTTATGAGAAATGCATGTTCTAGGTAAACTGCTTTTGCTTTTGATTTATTGTTGCTGAATTACAATAATCTATACACTTCCACCTCAATGAAGAGAGGGATAGTCGAAAATGGGATAAGGATGAGAAATATTTTGAGCATGATAATTGCAAGTTAGAGTTAGCCCATAAAAGGAAATCTTCTCGTCGTGTTGATGGCCCTGAACTGGTACACCAAGGAGGAGAAGTTGTTGAAAACCTTGGAATGTACATGTCTGCTTTATTTGGGGTTAAGAATTCTTTGAAGAGTAAGTTTGTTATTTTCCTTATGAGAAATGTATGTTCTAGTTAAATTGTTTTTGCTTTTGATTTATTGTTGTTGGATTGCAATAATCCATACACTTCTGCCTCAATCCTAGGCGTGTTATTCTAATTTTTGTCTAGGCGTGTTATTCTAATTTTTGTTAATTTTTTTTTTCCAAATTATTGGAAATGAAATCGTTTTGTAGTTGGCAACTTGAAAAATTCAGCTTTTATTATATATGGGGACTGAAAATCTTTAGCTTCGAAGGACAAAGGTCCTTTGAATTGCAATGTTATATATGAGTTTATTTTTCATCTGGTCCCGAATATGATCTACCTAGACCATGCTTTTTTACATTATATGCATGAGTTAATAATTTAATTGTTTAATCTTTTGGTTTTTAAAGAGTTCAAAAAGTGTAGACAATTTGTTTGTTTTCTCCACATTATGCTTAATGTATTGTTTTACCTATTTCTTTCTTTTAATATTTTTTTAGATGTATATACACAAGAATTTACTTTTTGTGAGAAAGTTAAGGAGAATATGCACCTGGATGCCTATCAAGAGTTTCTTAAGTGACTGCATATATATAACAATGAGATTATTCCTAGAAGTGAACTGAAGAATCAGGTATAACTTTGCTTCTATTTATCCAATTTTCAATGTATTTGATATTTATGCTTTGCAATTCAATTAACTTTTATTGTTGTGTTGCTTGGGTGAATGATCCACTGTCTACTTATGAACTTTTGTGAGTTATCTATTATTTATTTGAATTTTTGTGTGAAATTGCTTCTCCCATAATGGTGGCTGATTAATTTACTATGAGCTTCGATAAATTCATCATGCGAAGTGTTATGAAGTTATGTTTTGGGGATGAGAAGTTGACATAACATTCTTGAGTTCCCACCAGTACATGGTTTGAAATAAAAAAACAAACTTAAAAATTTTGTCTAGTTGGTTGCACAAAAAATTTTTAAGTTCTTTTTTTTTTATTCCAAACCATGTATTGGTGGAAACTCAAAAATGTTATGTCAACTTCACATCCCCAAAATATAACTTCCTAACACTTCACATGATAACTTTATCGAAGCTCATAGTAAATTAGTCAGCCACCAAAGTCACACAAAAATTTGAATAAATAACACATAACTCACAAAAGTTTATAAGTAGACAGATGATAACTCACCCAAGCAACACAACAATAATAGTTAATTGAATTGCAAAACATAAATATCAAATACATTGGAAAGTGGACAAATAGAAGCAAGTTATAACTGATTCTTCAGTTCACTTCTTGTAATAATATCATTGCTATATATATGCAGACACTTAAGAAACTCCTGATAGGCATCCGTGTGCATATTCCCCTTAACTTTCTCACAAAAAGTAAATTCTTGTGTATATAGACCTAAAGAAACATTAAAAAAATGAAATAGGTGAAACAATACATTAAGTATAATGTGGAGAAAGCAAATAAATTGTCTACACTTTGTGAATTCTTTAAAAACCAAAAAAATTAAACAATCAAATTATTAACTCATGCATATAATGTAAAAAGCATGGTCTAGATAGACCATATTCGGGACCAGATGAAAAATTAACTCATATATAACATTACAATTCAAAGGACCTCAGTCCTTCGAAGCTAAAGATTTTTAGTCCTCATACATAATAAAAGCTGAATTTATCAAGTTGCTAACTATTAAACAGTTTCATTTCCAATAATTCGAACAAAAAAATTGACGAAAATTAGAATAACACCCCTTGGATTGAGGCAGAAGTGTATGGATTATTGCACCAACAACAATAAATCAAAAACAATAACAATTAACCTAGAGCATACATTTCTCATAAGGAAAATAACAAACTTACTCTTCAAAGAATTCTTAACCCCAAATAAAGCAGACATGTACATTCCAAGGTTTTCAACAACTTCCCCTCATTGGTGTACCAGTTCAGAGCCATCAACATGACGAGAAAATTTCTTTTATGGGCTAACTCTAACTCGCAATTATCATGCTCAAAATCTGTCTCATCCCTACCCCCTTTTCGGCTATCCCTTTCTTCATTGAGGCAGAAGTGTATATATTATTTCAATTTAGCAACAATAAATCAAAAACAAAAGAAGTTTACCTAGAACATGCATTTCTCATAAGGAAAATAACAAACTTACTCTTTAAGTGATTCTTATCCCCAAATGATGAAGCAGACATGTACATGTTGTACATTCCAAGGTTTTCAACAACTTCTCCTCCTTGGTGTACCGGTATCGGGCCATCAACATGACAAGAAGATTTCCTTCTACGGGCTAACTCTAACTCGCAACTATCATGCTTAAAGTCTTTCTCATTCCTATCCCGTTTTTGACTATCCCTTTCTTCCTTTCAATCATTTTCCTACTCAGTGAGCCTCTGTTCATGATCCATATTAGGACGTCAACACTAGAGTCACACTCCAAGCGTAAACTATGCACCCATTCCTTCTGAGGAAAAGAAAGTTAGAACCTCATTGCACAATATATGATAATTTGAGCACATTATAATGTATACCCAAAAAAAGGTAAATCATTTTTTTAGCTCATATAGTTTTGCATTGATTCAATCCTGTGTCTTATAATTAAATTTGAACAAATTAAATCACAATAATTTAAAATTATTGCAATCATGCCAAAAACTCAAATGAAAAAGTACAAAATAAAATTCCTTTCAAACAAAATGACAGCATTCACATGAAGCCCACCACCCAGTTTATAAAGCTCTTAGATCCCGACTACGAATCATCATACTTTAATTCCTGCCATTGCCTCGATGGTAATTATTGCATTCCTCTTAATTTGAAATGAAACTTAAAAAAAGGAGAAGATGAAGAATTAAGATAAATGAATAACGTTTTGGGCGGTATATCTTATATCATAAATCTATATTCAATCATTTCGTTTGAATGGAACTTGACTTCCTCTATTATTTTATTTGAATTTTGGGTGTGATTTCAATAAAATTAAATTATAAATATTTAATTGAGAAAATTTAAAATGTAAGGATGAAAGAAAATCAAAGCCAACAATAAAGAATAAAAATTAGTTTACTTAAAAATAAACAAATTGATACTAAAAATTAGTAATTATCACACAAACTTGAATAGGAAGACATGCTATAAATAAACACCTTGGAAATTCAATGTGAGCCCATCATAAAAAAAAATATAGGAATTGAAATTCAAAAAATTGCTTTCAGCTTCAACGGTCCAATACATCTC